TGCTAGTTAGAAATAGTTTTCTAGGTTATATTTCAAATCTGGTAATCATTAGAGGTACATTCTTTCCATAGATGTTTGTATTTATAATCAACAGAACATCTGGGACAGAATTTGACCTACAAACTTAAAAATGTAGCAGCAGCCTAGATAGAAAAATAAGTACTTAAGTCTGAACCAGAACTAAAGTAAGATTGCTTGATATACACACAAAAACTAAAATATGAATGCCCATCTAGGGGCAGGCAAGATTTTTGTGGCTATTTCTTTCCTCCCACCCCTGAAGTATTTCTGATTTCTTGTCTTTAAGTGATCTGTTCATCAAATATAATACAATGTCATTCTCACAGATAATGCAGGAGAGGAAAAAACTCCAGCTATTAGGATTTTAGAAAAATATTGGAAATTTCCAAAAGGCTTAACCAAAAACAGTACACAGAAAGGGATAAAATGATGAATTCCTGGTCATCCCCCTTTGTTTTTCATCCAGAAAGTCTGCTCCTCTTTCTGCATATTTGCCTATTCTTTCCCAATGCAAGGGCTTATTCCAGACCCTTGCAATTAAACAATACTCCGTGATGTTACAGTGATGTAAGCTGACCAGAGTTAAGCTGACTGCAGTGGTATGTCATGACCACAGAGATTTGACCCAATTACTGTGACCTGACACACTTGCAATCTAGTACAGCCTGAAGTCTCAAAGCAATAGCCCCTGAAACCAGTAGAGACTCATGTGAAAGCTGAAACCAAGCAGAACAAGACCGAACAAAACCCAGGAGAAAGGCACTCCAAAAAACTGTCATAACATAGCTTGTTAATACATACTTACTTTGCTTGTTGGAGGACTTTGGGTGAGATATCCACATGCTTTTTAAGAACAGAAGTGTTGACAACCCAGAAGGAAGTGACTGAGCTGATTATATCCTTTTCTGAATACGTATTAGGGACATAACGCAATCTGTGTGCTGACTGATAGGTGTGTAGTGAAGCTCCACTGCAGTGCAAAGTGGTGGTAGGGTGATGTGTAGCCCTTGAACAGATCCATGCATTGTTTGGGGATTCAGCCCTAACAGTGAGGGGCTACACTGCAGTAGCTGAGATAGCTTATAGAGGAAGGTTAGGAAACACTGAATGTGGTCAGTCTGTGTGCTTAAGTACCACATCTGCAAATCTTAGGCAGCAGGTTTCTTCTGGTGATTTTGCAGCATTCATATTATCACAGAATCACAGAGAAGGGTAAGGTTGAAGGTACCCCAGTGAGTGACCTGGTCCAACCTCCCTGCTCAGGCAGGGTCATCCTAGAGTGCATGGCTCAGGATTGCATCCAGACCATTCTTGAATATCTCCAGTGAGGAAGAATCCATTACCTCTCTGGGCAATCTGTTCCAGTGCCTGGTCACCTGCACAGTAAAGCTCTTCCTCATATTGAGGTGGAACTTTCTGTGCATCAGTTTCTGCCTGTTGCCTCTTGTCCTGTTGCTTGGCATCACTGAAAAGAGCCTGGATCCAACTTCTCAGCACCCTATCTTCAGATCCTTGTATTCATTAATAAGGTCCCTCAAGGCTGTCTCTTCTTGAGGCTGAACAGGCACAACTCCCTCAGCCTTTCTCATAAGAAAGTTGCTCCAGCCCCTTAATCATCTTGTTGCCCTCCACTGGACCTGCTCCAAGAGTTCCACGTCCTTCTTGTACTGAGAAACCCAGAACTGCAGACAGTACTCCAGGTGTGGCCTCACAAGGGCTGAGTAGAGGGGCAGGATGACCTCTCTCGACCTGCTGGCAATGCTTTTCTTACTGCATCCCAGGATTCCATTGACCTTCTTAGCCACAAGGGCACACTGCTGACTCATGGACCCCCAGGTCAGTACCCAACCTGTACTGGTGCTTGGGGTTATTCTTCCCCAGGTACAGGACCCTGAATTTGCCTTTGTTGAACTTCAGATGGTTCTTCTTTGCCCATCTTTCCAACCTGTCAAGGTCGTTCTGAAGGGCTGCGCAGCACTCTGGGGTATTGGCCACTCCTCCCAGTTTTGTGTTGTCAGTGAACTTGCTGAGGAGGCATCTGCCCCTCCATCCAGGTCATTGATGAATAAGTTAAGCAATTCTGGGCCCAGTATTGAACCATGAGGGTCCAACTGAACTAGTGACAGGCTTCCCACCTGACCCTGTGTGACTGATTACAACCCTCTGGGATCTGCTGTTCAGACAGTTCTCAATCCACCTCCCTGTCCACTCACGCAGTCCATGCTTCCTGAGTTTGCCTATGAGGATGTTGTGAGAGATAAGGAACTCTGGGTTTTGTTTTTTCCACTATAGTGTAGTATCTATAGAGCAGCCTTTAAAATCTTACTCCCCACCCCTTTAAATAGCAAAGTAACATTTCCTTGCTCCGTTAGCACCACTGTCTAGAACATTGCACTGACATGGAACATTTGCACCTGTACATAACTACAATCAGACTGAAAGTCACAGTATTTATCCCTTAGAAGTCAAACAAAAGGTAGAAGATAAAACAAGAAAAACTGTCAAGGAAACTTAGGAAGTATCACTTCCTAACTGTCCAGGATGTCATCTAGTATAGATTCTCAGCTCCATATATGGCTGCACTATATTCTTGCACAGATACTCTTTAGAATCCTGTATGATTTTTGGACATGTTTTGCAATTCTGTCAGTACTGCTTTTCTGCTCTTGATGCTGGAAGACTTCCTGGCTTGGAATATGAACAGAAGAACAGCTGTAGAAGATCATAACAAATTCCATGTAGCTCTGTATCCTGTCATAGACAGCAGCCTGCAGGGATGCTGAAGAAGTGGTATAAGAACAGGATGGAAAGATGGAGTAATACTTCCACAAAATAAGCTTTCAGTTTCTAATGTCATTGCTCAGAGACTGCTTGATTGAAAAAAAAAAAAAAAGAGGAAAAAAGGTAGTGCCTTGTGCAGAGCCAGTTACCAGGTGCTTTCCTCACTTTCCAGCCTTATAAAAGCTTGTGAACAAACTTTCTGTTCCTGCATCTTATCTATTTTTGTGTCCTGCACTGTTGTTCACTACCACTGAGAACCAAAATTCCTAAACTGAAAAAAACCATACTATTTTTTAAAAAATAATTACCCAGATGCAAGTATGTTTCTTGTAAATCTCAGCAGCTCAGTGTCTTTATTCTAAAAGAGATGAAACAGATAACCACAGGAGAGAATTTTGCAAGCCAAGATCTAGAACTGGACTTAAAATTAACCACTTGAGGCCAAATTAACCATCGGATTACTTTGTAAATTGCTACCTGTTCCAAGTTCATTGCTTGTGTGTAGATATAAATAAATGTGTACTATGTAGGACAGAGGTGAACAGTGACTAAATGTACCCTAGAAATTCAGTCCTGAATACTGTTTTCTAATAAAATCCTTTGTTCTGTCAGCAAGTTCCACAAAGTGATTTCTGCATGTCATATCAGTCAAAATGTGCTATTATTACTCTGTATTAACTATTTTTTCCCCTAGAATACTCTCTTCAGCCCTCTTAGGAGATAAAGCTGCATCTCCAGTGGAAAAGTGGACTCGAACAAAAAGGTAGGCTTTGCTATGACTACCATTACTGATGATCCAAAAGAAGTTCTTTTAGGTAAGATGCTTAATCAGACTAGTCAGATATCTTAATGTTCACAATAAACACTTTGTTCTCCCCAGAAATGACTAGCATGCAGGCAGGGAGAATGAGAACAAGCATCTTTAAAGCAGTGATCTCTGACAGAGGTTTGGGGGGTGGATACAGAGGTGTGGCATTTGCTGTAGAGGAAGCAAATTCTGAGAGGGTCCATAACCACTTCTCAGAGGCAGATCAGAGGGAAAAAGACAACTCCAAACAAAGTTGTTAGAGAAAACAGTAAAGAATAGCAGAAAATACAGAGGCAGCAGTCGTGAAGCAGCCGGGATACAGGCTCCCAAGAGACTTCCCTGCCCAGGGGAACAGCTGGAGAGTTTGCTCCCTCTACTGGAGCATCCTAATAGACCCAAAAGATGCTTCTAGTTTGACCCACTTTTAAGTCCACAGCAAATCTTTTGGACTAAGAAATAAAGATTAATGCAGGGCTGGTTACCATTGCAGGCTTAGTATCACAAGGATTTTTTTTTAGAAACATTGAATATGTACTGGAAGTTGCAGATGGAGACAGAGGGGAGAGAGCTACGTCATTGCTTCTCTTTCGAAAAGGAACAAAATAAGGCGTACTAGTTGAAATCTGTATTTTTCAGATCATAATTCTGTCAGTTCAAACTGGAACATAGGAGAAGCAAGCTGACCTTTCCAGTGTCTCATGTAATGCAGAAGAACAACTCTTGTTATATGACCTTTGCTCTAGGACAGATTACTTGCTACCATTCCTGGAGCCACGTATGTAGAAAACCACCTGCCTTAAATGCTTTGCCTTATGAATAAATAGCCTATTCCTACAGCAAGCAGAGACTAAACCTCTCCTAAAGTATCTTCAGACAAATACAACATCATCACTTAGCTATTTAGCATTCACATCAGATAATATAGTAGCATGTGGCACAATGACATCAAGAAACCATGACTCAGACAGTCAGACACAACTCTACTCTTGCTTGCAGTAGTTTGTGGCTGAGACTCACCTTCCTCTCTTGTAGAATTTGGGTCACTTTTGTGCTCCAAGACACTCCATGTGACTTTGAACAGCACCTTGCAACTCAGTTTTCTGCCCACTAAATGAGAGTTGAGGGAGCCTTACTCCTTCATGTCTTTTTATAACATAAGTTACATAGCATTGGTGTGGAATCTCCTCCTATATCTAATGCCTGACATTTGGTACAAAGACCTCCAATTTTAGCTGAACATTACAAGCAAAATAATAAAAGAGTTAAATATTTTACTAAAACCTTAATAGATTTTCTGGCCTCTCCAATTTAAATGGCTTCTCATTTTCTGATTTTCTGTCCTCTCAGTGAACATCTTGGTCTGCTGGTGCTCAATCACCTTAAAAATCCTATGGAAGAAATGGAAACCAAGCTCAGCAGCAGCGACAGAGAGGAAGCTTTCAAAAGAGAACTACCATACTGGGTAGGAGAGATAGACTTCACAGCTTCTAGGAAGAAACATGGAAAGGTATGGCACTGAGGAGTTTTAACCCTTTAATGCTATTGCTGTTTTTCAGCTGTTACTTCTTCAGCACTAAATGAAGAGTCCGTAATAGTGAGGCACTACATTGTACTCCAAGCAGGGACCACACCTTCCTCAGCATGAGTGTGGTTTAAAATATGGCCTATTAATGTACAGAAATCAAACATGTGACTTGCAATGACGTGCTACAAGTACAGCTGATCACTTTACCCTTCAGAAAAAAAAATAAATTCAATCATGTGCCCTGCTTTCTTCATTTTGTATCTTTGCCCTGTTTGAACCTCTTCCTGCCAAAAATTAATCACATGGATTTTAACATTTTAAACACACTTTTGAGGTGTTTCAAGACTCTCCTTTAAGTTTTCTCTCTGTTCTACTATATGCAGAGAAGGATGGATATGGACAGACCCACCTCCCCATTAGTCCCCTGCATACATTAGTGCTAGGGCAGAAGGAATTCTTAGGAGTTCCTGAAATCTGCCTTAAGATTTTGTTTGATCATAAAGTCTTAACCACAAAGCCGAGAAAATACACAGCACTGGAAGAAGCAACAGATTCATGTAACGTGTCCTTGAAAAACAGAAATGAAATCAGGCAAATATTTCAGCTTGTGCAGAAACACCTAAGAAATGTATTGGCTTTGCTAGACTACTATGAAGTTCCAAGAGGAGCAGCAGCATAAAGGAGAGAGGGGTATGACAGTCTGCAACACAGAACTAACTACAGAAGTCTGCTAAATCCATTCTAGTATTTAGTTCTCTGTCAGTTCTTGCCTACATATTTGGTTCTTAAATAATCAAGTTGATGATAATTTCCCTCTGTATTCATCATGACCTCTGTATTATATCTTGCTGTCCTACTGTTACTCACTAGGGTTTTGTTTTGTTTGTTGAAGTTTATTAAGGTCCCAAGTACCATTCACCCTGGAATTATATTTGACATCATGCTCAGTAAGTGGAAGCTACCTGCTCCCAATCTGGTTGTCTCTTTAGTAGGCGAAGAAGAAAACTTCCAGATGAAGCCTTGGCTACGGGACGTCTTAAAAAAAAGACTTTTAAAGGCAGTTCAAAGCACAGGTTAGTGCTTTAGACCCTAAAGAAGGAATTTGTATCCCTGCTGCTTTCTCACACCTAACACTCAGTGATCTGCTGATGCCAATGGGCCTGCTCACATAATTAATTTTGGAAATCTGTCACGGTTTAACCCCAGCCAGCAACCAAGAACCATGCAGCCACTCACACACTCCCCCACCAACAGGATGGGGGACAGAATCAGAAGGGTAAAGGCTAAAAAAGCTCATGGCTTGAGATAAAGACAGTTTAATAGAGAAAGCAAAAGCACCGCACACAAGCAAAGCAAAACAAGGAATTAATTCACTGCTTCCCATGGGCAGGAGCTGTTCAGCATCTCCAGGAGAGCAGGGACCATCACACGTAATGGTTACTTGGGAAGACAAACACCATCACTCCAGATGTCCCCCCTTCCTCCTACCTTATATACTGAGCATGATGTCATATGGTATGGAATATCCCTTTGGTCAGTTTCGGTCACCTGTCCCAGCTGTGTCTCCTCCCAGTCTCCCATGCACCCCCAACCTCCTTGCCTGGTGTGACAGTACGAAACGCAGTAAAGGCCTTGGCTCTGTGTGAGCTCTGCTCAGCTATAACGAAAACATCTCTGCATTATCAACCCTGTGTTCTGCACAATCCTAAACACAGCCCCATCCTAGCCACTGTGAAGAATGTTAACTCTACTTCAGCCCAAACCAGCACAATATCCAAGAATTTGCTGAATGCAATCTACAATCTGCATGTAAATAGCTTTGAAAATGAAAGTAATAGTATTATAGTAGCAAAAATAAGTTATTTGGAACCAATTTACTCTAGGCAACCATTCCTGAAGTGTAAGATTATCTGGCATTATTTCTTCAGAGATGACACTAGAAGCATAGCATGAGATGGGAACAAATACATTGTCCCTCTTTGGTGCCATAAAGAAATAATTCTTAAGAGAGGAGAGCAATTTGACTTCAACAAGAGTGAATTTAGGTCAAAAATAAGAATTCTTGTTTTCTCCATTCTTGCTTTTTAGCTACCATTCAAAATCATGTTGTGATAGTTTTTACTTTTTGAAATCCTGTTTTCTTCAAAGCTAAGAGTCAAACACACTTTATTAGTCAAACTACCTATGATGAGACTTAAGACTAACAAAAATACCTTGGTGAGGTATAGCACAAAATAAGTCAGCTCACTTTCTCCGTGGTTGTTCAGATGAATGACAAGAGTAGTGAGAAGCAAACCCAAACCATCCAATGTCTGGGAATAGGCATGAAGAGGCTTTAATTTGACCTTTTTTTCTCCAAGGCTTTATGAAAATGCCTGCAAGACAAAGTGAAAACATCTGTGAGCACTTCACAGCAAGCCCTTGGTTTAGCTTCATTGGTCCAGACAAGATTGTGACAGTTTTGCTTTTTGTAACAAAGCAGCTGAGTACCAAAGCTCTTTCTGGTGCTTCTGTGCCACACAGATCTTCTTCTGCCTCCTGTCCTTAAGACTGGGCAGTATCAATGTCCCCAGTTCCTTTATGCTACATGTTTGAAGAAGGATAACTAGCTCTTTACCTAGGGTTCTCCAAATTCCTGGTCACCACAACAATACTGCTGTAAATTCTACTCTCTGGAAGAATTCACTCTACACACACACACAAGAGTTCCAGTCAACAACTTCTCCCACTCTGTCCCTTTGCTTTTCCTTGTACAACAGTCAGACCTACCTGGTACAGTGATGTTTCTGCTCATGTCTAGACTCTAGAGTGGACACAGCATTCTTGATGGGCATATTGGCATCAAAGATTGCAACATTACATTACATAATAGGTGAAGAACATTTGCTTGGACATATAATGTCTTCTTGTTTTCCTTATTAAAGTCTTACAAAATTTGTGTGTATTTTAATTCTAAAAGGTATAGTCCATCAAGGCCTGTCTTCACTTTATCTATCTAAAAAAAGTACTGCAAGTAATGTTACTTGACACACAAACATGTTCAATTACAAAGAAATTATCTAACTGTTTTTAAAAAATAATTACAGGTGCCTGGATTTTTACCAGTGCTTTACGTGTAGGAATAACAAGACACCTAGTGCAAGCAGTCCAAGATCTTGCACTGGCTAGTACTTCATCCAGAGTAAGCGTGACTGCCATAGGAATAACTTCACTCAGAAAAATTAAGCACCGAGAAATTCTGGACAACACAAAGGTATTTTTCATTTATTCTACTCGTGGAAAAGAACTGTTCAGATATAAGCTGCACCTTTACAAAATCTGGAAGTGGTGGGCAGAACAACTTTGATATAAGTGGGGTTTAAACTGCTTTTTGGGAGAAAACAGAAATAAAGAGCACGAAGGATTGTGAGAAACTGCACAGCAGGTGGCAGCATTAGGCATTGGCGCAGCGACCAGTGCACTGCAGAATGTCAGGAAAATATCACACAGCTAAGGTACCTTTAAGGGTGGTTTTTTCCCTCGTCCACTTACTGCAGAAGCACTTGCTCCAAGCTATTACATAAACACTGTAAAAAGCATATTTTATATTATGCAATACCAGACATAAACATCCCAATACAAAGTTTTCTTAAGTGTCTTAAGCGCCTTAAGTCTTTTCAGAGTGTCTTAAGACTCTGAATTTGAGTCTAATATGCAAAACCCTGCTCAGTACACCATGCCAAAAATTCTAGGATTTCACCTAGTTATTGGGAGCTCTAGGAAATTTCGAATTTGGGAGTTCTTGGGAGGAAAAAAACCCCCACCCAAACAAAAACAACAAACCAACAGATTAAAAGCCTCACCCAACAGTTTCTGAAAGTGTTGATGCCAAATTGATCCAGAGGTGGAGAAAAAGCAAAATAGCATTACCTTGTCATCACTGGATGTACAGTCTGCCCTATGCAGAGTATTATAACAATAAAGTGGATGTGTAATGGCAATTGATAACAGTTCCTCTGTGCTGTTTCACTTCTCTACAGAAGCTAAGAAATAAATACCAAAGACAGCCCCTTGAACTCACACCTAGTTGTTCTCTCAGATAGGCCTGCAAGTACCAGCTAGCAGCTGGGGGACTGCCAGACCATGTCAGCAATTTATTGTCACTAGGCTTCCCCATGTTTCATCTTTCTTTGCCAACAACAGCTACCTGTGTGCTCTACCAGGTGGAAATCCTTAGCTAGAAGACTTTATTTGTGTGGCAACTGGTCCAAGAAGACCTCAGAGGAAAGTCTTTGTTTCATTGTGTTTGTGAATTTAGCACAGGAAAGTTGCTTTGGTAAACACAAACTATTTCACCTCCCTCTTTGGCTAAGTGATAAAAATGCATCTGGATCTCTCCCAATCAGCAGCTACAAAACAAGTGCACTGGTCCTTTTATTGCATTAGATTTTCTCCCCCTTAGCTAAAGCTGGAATTCTTTGTCAAGGAATATTTTGTAAAGAGCATTCCTGACCCTGTGACTTCTGGCACAGCTTCCATCCAAAGACATTTTGGATTTTAGTCAGTAACTTTCAGACAAAGGAACTACAGACAGGGATGTTGATCTAAGCCCAGCTTTCTTTATACTTGGCCCTAACACAAGCAGCTTCTTTTATAAAATAGAGCTAACAATCCCCACTAGCAAGGAGAAAACCAAGCCCTGAAATCAGCGAACCCCTCCCCTCTCTTCTGTGTTAATGGTATGCTTTAAACATCATTGAAAGGTCACTTCCATGTTTCCAGAGAATAAATAGGAATATTCCCAAGGGCCTTTTTCAATTGATTGTTTTGCCTCTGGGTCTTAATCAAGGGCCAGATCTTTGGTGAGTAGGCTAAATATTACATGGCAGCAGAATATAGGCACACCCTCTGTCAAAACAAAATCTGAAGGAACTGAATTGTGTCCAGAAGCTTTCCCCAGCAAATGAGAAACAGAGAGATGGAGGTAAAAGAAATTGGTGGCACTGCCTGTTTGTAAATGACATGCAAGTTTACTGCTTTTCTTCCTGGAACAGCCTCTGATTTTCCCACTCTTCCCAGAGCTGCTGACAAGGAAAGAAGCCATAGGAACACACCTGATAATAGCCTTTTTCACCTTGCTTTGAAGGAGATTTCTCTTCTCCAGTTTGACTGTACACAGCTTCATTTCAGAAAGCCACGTAGGGCATGCTGTGCAGTGTGCAACATGAAGGAGCTTGTCCTCTGGGATGCTTCATGCATTTTTATGCATTAGTAGTGCTACTGTGAGCTCCTTCACTGCCTCTTCAAATTCAGCCTTAGCCTTGCCTGTGGAGAACATGGATAACTCCTCTGTTCGACTTCCTCCAGGATTCAACTGGGCACTGCTTTTCCTAGCAGACAGTGCTAACATCTGGGATTAAGGAAGGCTCTGCATAATACCTGGCTCTTGCAAACCTGAATGTAAATCTCCCTGCCATACCTGAATGAAAATTAGGTTACCTTCATAGTTACACTGCTGCTTCTCAAAAGGATTTAACACCTGTCTGTGTCCTCAAAGTTACTCTGAGGATAATGCACTGCACAGTTACAATAGCCAAGCTGACAGTGTGAGTTTTGCTCATCGACTCAAAGGTTGTGGGAATTGAAAAACAGGCACGATAAAAGGAAATTCAGATTTTAAACTTGTTTTAATGTGACTTACTTGCAGGAGGGCAGTGATTATGAAAATTGAAAAGAATATCCAGGCATTTACAGCCTGGCTTGCAGCTAGAAATGATGCTTCAAAGTGGATGTGTCACAGTGGGAAAGAAAGATATATTTAGGACATAAGGGGAGCTTGAAAAAAATGTGTCCATGGAAGACTTATTTACTGCAATACTTAGAACAAAAGACTATAGCAGGGGTTCTGTTTTACCTAGACAGTGATTTTATGCAAAAAACAATTAATAAATAATTTATAGATATAACACCCCTCATCCAAAATAAAAGATAAGATTGCACTTTCTAAAATCTGCCTGTCACTTACTCTTTTAGAATGCAATTTCCAAACCGAGAATAACCATTAGACTTCATATAATCCTGTCAATTAGGCAAAATTGTGTTTAAATTGATATGAACGTAGAGCAGGCTACCTTACCTACTGGCCTCAGCTGGTATGGACAAAATACTACTGAAACTAATATGTTTGCCCCTCTTTATACCAGCTGAGGCTCTACAGCTCCATCCACAATTACTGGATCTCCTGGCCCCTTTCCATTGGTACAATGAACATTTCCCAAACCTGTGTTCCAGATACGATGACTGATCTCACTATATTTTGCAGAGGCCAAGATGGAAATTTCAGGGACTTCAGCTATCAATCCTGTCAAATCTGCCCCTTTTCATAAGGAACTCATTGTCCTCCTCTGTCCTTTCCCAAGAGTCTATTCAAGTGTCTCACAGGTGCTGTGCTATGTCAGTGTGCAGACAGCACAGAAACGGAGATGAAGCACATGAAAACATGGACTGGGTTTTGCAGAGAACACTCACATTTCTCCTCCTCTTTCTAGAATGGAAGTCCTGTACACTACCAATCTGATGATAGTAGCCAAGGCCCACCATATTCCCTGGACCACAACCATTCCCATTTTATTTTGGTGGATGACATAACAACAGATGAGCCAGATGGAGCCACTAAGCTACGTTTAGCCTTGGAAAAGCATATTTCAGAGCAGCGTACTGGATATGGTGGTAAGTAGAGTCTCTATAGACATGCTCATTTGAATGATCCTGATATTGCAGTGATACCTGAGGGACAAAGGCAACTCCAATTCTCCAACTGAACAATCACCTACATAGGCAAGGTTAAGTAAACATATCATTATGTAAGAGACAGAACTATGATAACTTCTGAAGTTAAGAAAGCTGCTCTTCAAACCAAAGAGACTGGCTTTTACTCTTTAAACATAGCTAAAGCAGAGCTCAAATTGCCTTAAAACACAACAATCTGAGATTCAGAGGAGATGTCTGGAAAATGTTTTCCCTGTTAGGGTGTTCCTGAATAGATTAGATTGCCCAGGGAGGTGGTGGAGTCACCATCCCTGGAAGTGTTCAAGAGGCATCTGGATATGGTGCTGGAGGATAGATATGGTTTAGGGTTTAGGGGTTACAGCAGAGTGACAGGTTAATGGTTGGACTGGATGATCTTAGAGGTCTCCTCCAACCTTGATGATTCTATGATTCTAAATAGAAAATAATCCAGCTTCAATTGCCTTAACCATTGGCTCTAATAAATGGATGTTCTCTATTGTATACTTTTATCCCTTCTCACGCACAGGGTCTTGAACTGCTCCTACACTGGAAGAAAAGTCTTGTTCCAAAGCCTTGTGAAATATTTTAAGCCATATTTATTTCAGGATAATATCTTATCCTGGGCAAACACTGTGTCACCTAATGGCCCTCTGAATCTATGAGACCTTTGTTTATAATAAGAACTGAGTATTGGGCAGGTCTCCTACTGCTATTTGTGGAAAGAATTCAGATGAAGAGCTAATAGAATTACTTTTACCTTCCCTTTGTTTCTGTACTACCTGCAGTGCTAGCACAGCTGAAGCAGACAGGAGAGCTCACTAACTCACAGTTGTATGCAACAGTTTAATATTCAATTACACAGCCCATAGTATGGTTACCCAGATGTACTTAGAGCACAAATGCACCTGAAGAATGCTTATCTGTTGACTCAGATAGGAAAGACCACAGGTGTGGGCTGTAAAGGTAGGCTGAGGTTGCAATGCTGAGAATTACAGAGTAGCCTCTTTCTGCTTGCAATCCAAATCTGATTGAACAAATCTCAGTGGAACAATATTCTGACCAAAAATATGCTGATACATATGACAAATATTTCACTGGAACATACTGAATTCAGTGTTATCTTCTATAAACAAAGCCAATGTCATTCATTTAAGCTCGTTTACATACAAGCTGAGCAAAGCTATGTGATTTTACTGAAGGAAAACGCTTTCATAAGGCCATGCAGAATTTCCCTACTTTAAAAAATACCTAGAAGTCTTCTAAAGGAGTTTTTTTATGTACTGAATATTCTTTGCAATTAAGGACTTTTCACCTCCCCAGCATAAAGTCAGAATCCTCTTACCCCTCCTTTGGCTACATTTTATCTATATCTATGTTAAATTAAGAATATTTGAAGCTATAAGCGAACCCTGAGGAACCTGTAGTCACTCTTCAAAGCAGAACATCATTTTAGAGAGGTATGACAATGCTCTGCCATGCACTAAAACAAATGAAGCTAATTGCCAATCACATCCTGGCTACAGCTCAGTTCTACATTAGCTCTGTAGTCATCCCACAAGAGACACAGCAAAGAGTATGTGGAGATTTGTACAGAGTTCTGGGAGATCTACAAAGGGAAACATCAAAAAATTGTTTGAATCAAATGCCTTTTATCTTCCAGCTGAATGAGGCATTCATCTCCTGATGCAACTGTTTTGATTGACCTCTTCAGGCCACCTATGGATTACAGAGTTCAGCATTTACTGTATAAACCCCCTAAAAATCTGTGGGCCCCTGTGGGAGGATGGCTTAGGACAGGGATGCTGACCTCGTTTCTTTCCCTGCTGCCATGACATGTTAAATATTTCATTAGCATTTCTTTTTAAAGTGTCAGATTGTGTTATTATTTATGACCACACTAGCCTGTGCTGAATGAAATTTTGAGCTGTTTAAGCAGAGTCATGAAGAGTATATGGTTCCTATGCTTTTGCAGGCACCAAAACAGCATGTAACAGGAGAAGTATTTTCAGGGGGTCAGCAAAACTGCAATAGTTTTGTAAAAGCTGTTACCTTTCTAAAAATTAAACCATTTATTTCACAGGAACAGGTAGCATCGAGATCCCTGTGCTTTGCTTACTGGTAAATGGAGGGCCAGGCACACTTGAGGTAAGAAGCTGTTTTCAACTTTAGGAAATTAAATTAACTGGTGCCAAGTAATTAATGGAAAATTTGGCTGCATGACAAACACATCTATTGGTGCTTTAGATGAAGTTTAAATTCATATCTATACACCATTAAGAACTGAACTCTGTTAATGTTAAATTTGCCAGTGTTTGTTTGGGAGAAATATTTCCTTTTGATAGGCACCAGCTGTTCATTAAAGTTTCCATTGCCAGCTTGTACAGTGGGAAGAAAGAATCCAAAACCAAAACAAACCCACAGAAGCCAGCTCCAGATCTAGTGGAACAGAAATACTGAGCTATTACTTGAGAACACATACAAAAAAAAGAGATGAATCATTCAGTTCTGTGCAGCAACAATGAAACAACTGTCTGTCCCACTGCTCAGAGGAAGTACAAGCCCAAGTTTGCCAGACATGCCATTTAAAACTATAGTGTCCCAGTTCCACTGAGGAAATGTACATTGTTGGATAGAAGACAGGAGTGTTGTCCCAATGAGCTATTACTTGAGAACACATACAAAAAAAAGAGATGAATCATTCAGTTCTGTGCAGCAACAATGAAACAACTGTCTGTCCCACTGCTCAGAGGAAGTACAAGCCCAAGTTTGCCAGACATGCCATTTAAAACTATAGTGTCCCAGTTCCACTGAGGAAATGTACATTGTTGGATAGAAGACAGGAGTGTTGTCCCAAATCTTCATCGACATGCCATTTAAAACTATAGTGTCCCTTGTACATTGCTGGATAGAAGACAGGAGTGTTGTCCCAGATCTTCATCAGAGAAGGATCAGTTTTGATTTTTCTCCTGAGTAGTTCTGCAACTTAAATATCCTGTTAACAAGGAGATACTCTTTGATTTCTATTTTAATTTTATTTTTTTAGTAATACTGTCATTCTACAGCATCTTTAGTGAGACAGAATTTGATCATAATTTAAAGTTTCCAAGTGATGAGACTGTGCCATGCAAGCTGCTAACCTCTTTCAGAATAATGAGTTGTTTCTGGTGACATTTTCTGGTTTCAGATTCCAGTCCCTGTATCTTGTCATATCTTTGTCAGCTGGACTAAAACACACTGGTATTAGGAATCTTGCTGTTTAAACTAGGATTATGTCACCTCTTGAGTTTTGTTTCTAGAGGCTAAATATCACAGTGTTTCTTGTCTATTGGGTTTCGAAAAAATCACATACTATGACCTATAAATCCTCTTTTCAAAGTTTTAGAGAACAAAGTGACTTGCAGACCAAAGGTAAACTGGTTGGAGCTGCTCTAAAATGACACATGCTGAGAATGGATAACTGGCTGCACTTTTTCAGAGTATCCATTTTTTTAATACAAATTGGATAGTACACACCAAGGACTACAACAGTTTTATAAAAATTTAAAAAACACAACACCTAAACTGAAGAAAAAACCCTGCACCACAATTGAATCAATAGAGTCTTGCATAACTCCAGAGGAAGAAATAGACTGACAGCAATAGTGATTGTTGCAGTTAAGATGCCATGCATGGCCTCTGCTTTCCTCTCTCAACAGCCTACCTGACTCATTCTGATAAGAACAGAATTAGTAATAGAATTAGTAGCTTTTAACTCTTAAAATTGTTATGATTCAGTGGGGTTTTTTTCCTGTAGCCCAATGTTGTATTCCCACAGGCAAATTCCTGAACAAATTTCAGAACATACTGCCAGGTTTAGCAGCCAGGAAAACACCCCTACACCAAAAAGCCTGCTGAGAATTTCTTTATAGGGCTACTTTTGTACCTGACTATGATGAAACACAGACTTCATGGGAAAAAAAGTCAGGGGCAAATAAATTTTATCCCTTGTTTGTCCAAATCAGGTTGCTTAGCTACTCAGCAGATGTGTCATGAAAAGAAGAGTAGTCAGGGGCCTATACATGGATGACCTGCTATAGAATCAGAAAATTCCTAATAGCTTAGAGAAGTCTGGACTGATTCCATAGTGAATCTGGTTTAGCTACACATTTATTCCTAGTTTACTAGAAGTCCTTCTTTTAAATAATATTTTCTTTCCATATATGAATTCTAAAATTGTACTTTTTAAACTACAGAGAATTCTCAGCGGTCTGGAAAATTCTGCTCCCTGGCTTATCTTAGAAGGATCTGGAGGTACAGCTGACATCTTAGCTGCATTCATGAATGGCCTACATTCCATCAATCCAGAATATGTTGAAAAGCAATTTAAGGAGAAATTCCCTGCAGAAGACTTCTCGCAGAAGGACATTCTCCAATGGACAGAAACAGTGAGCTCATATGTTGGATGATTACATACACCATGTTCACAAACTCTCTACTACCTTTTTTAGCTTTGGTAGCCTGTTCAGTACAGGTTTGGCAAGAAGCTGCCCAGAAATTTTGGGTACTGCAGTACTTTGACACTAGCTTTCTAGAACACGTCTCTAACATTAAAATCAAGTGCTCAGTTGATCATGCAAACTACTTTGTTGTCCTAGTGATTCAGCTGAACACTTAGGGCTCTGTCCTTCCTCGATTATTTCCTCAAATGAGGACTCAGGAACCTCACAGTCCTTCTGTAGGACACGAAGCATTATTTATACCCACAGCTGTGGAGCTTGTGCAGCTGTGACAGAAGAGACCTAATTCATGACCTACAGCTGTTAAATGGAAACCTAATTGTGGATAAGCATGAATAAATTAAATAGAACGAAGCGTGTTTAGAAATAATCCTATCTATTGTCAGTTACATGTCTAAAACAGAAAGACAAAACAGATTAACAAATCTTCCTTACTCTTTGTCTTGAGGCACACTTGCTGGACTTAAACCATTATGCATGTCTTTTAGTAACAAAAAACCATTTGGGGATTGTCTTTATGCGAAGACTGAGGAGCACTGTCTGCCTCTCAGATAAATCAAGTCCACTCAACTGGACCACTACTTATTCTTTGCAGTCCCTGCCATAATCCTTAGCTTTAAAAGTTCCACATATTCATTGCATTAGGGAGAACTCTGACAGATCACTGACAAAAGAGGATGGAAGGGCATCTAGAAGCAATATTGCCAGATGCTCACAGTCTCAGTGCAGCTGAGAGAAAGAAAACTCAATAAATAGAGAAGCAGAAGGAAAGAGTACTGTATATATATCAATATTTGAGGACTTTTACTCGAAGAAGCTTCAGAGACTGTGCTTTTAAACAAACAAGTCTGAGAGCAAAACTTAAATGTCAAAGCAAGAAAAGGTAAGACAGAACTAGTGGTATGCTGGCCACAGCATGACTATGAGTCAGATAAGAATATGAGTTAAGGAAGGATCTTTTAATTAAAGCACAGCTCAGGTTCTCAGGATATCCAAGTTCTGTTCCTCCTATCCTGTTAGGTGACTTTGGAAAAGGCAATAACTCCCTTCCTGCCTTTGGACTTATTTATATATGGGAGACTAATAATGTTTGTCTTCTTGCCAAACCTCAGCTTTACAAGTAGAACATAAGTTTTTGGGAAATACTGTATTGGTGATCTCCATTGGGTTCTTGGGCACTAATATATAGTGGTAGAACAGTGTGCAAAATGACTTTTGTTTTAACTCCCAATAGATTAAGAACATTATGTCATCATCACACCAGCATCTTCTAACTCTGCACAACTTTGAGCAAGATGATTCAGAAGAACTAGACACAGTAATTTTAAAAGCTTTAGTGAAAGGTAAGAACAATAAAGACAGCACAGTGTAACACTTGTCTTACTTGACTTCCTCTGTGCCATAAATATAATTTTTGGCCAGTTCAGTTGGATCAGATATCATTTCTGATGCACAGTTCTGTTGTTTATTGACAAATTAACTGTGGCAGTTACCATAGTTCTTGTAACCTTGCTTTAAACTAGTGTTTGCTTTTTAATCTCAAGCTGTTGTATAGTACTATATCAATTGCTCCTTTGTTTCTCTACTTGCTTCTCTTAGTAGCAGAGGTTATAGAAGAACTGAAATACACTGTATCAGTATGTTATTCCAATTACCAACCACTAAAATCCCCAGGAAAATAAAACAAAAAACCACAAGTAAACCCAAACTGCCATAGTTCCAGAAACAATCTATTTCTCCTACAAGAAATCTCTACTGTAACTTCTCAAAGAAGACATTACTTGTGCTGACACTTACTTCAGTTTCTGTTAACTTAATGGTTTGTGTTAGCCTAAATTTAGCATGGGCGAAAAAAGACATTCTATCCCTAATGTGCTAATTGAAACAAAGCAAAACCAATAGCCAGTCCTGTTCCTTGCCTTCTGCAGGCCAGGGTCCCTCTTGAAATCCAACAGCCATTTAAACTTAATGGTTTAATAGAGAATTCAGCTGGTAAAAAGTAGTGTTTTTCATTTTAGTATTTCTTAATTTAGGAAAAAACTATGAAGGGCTCCTGGTTAAGCAACCCACAGATCTGTGATAGCTGAAGGAGATCTTGTATTGCTAATCAAAGTACAAATACAAGTTAAATTAAACATAACTGTAAAGTACTGAGTTTATTTGCATTTCCTATTTTTTCCAGCCTGTAAAAGTCAGAGTCATTACGCTCAGGAATATCTGGATGAATTGAAGCTGGCAGTGGCCTGGAATAGAGTTGACATTGCTAAAAGTGAAATACTCAATGGTGACGTGGAGTGGAAGGTACCAGGTTTTATTGCCTCAGAGGACAATGGGTGTATAATCCAATGTTTACAGGACACTGGAACAACCCAAAAGATGGTTTCAGTTTTTAACTCTACCTGAGTGCTCCACCAAGAGACTGGGCAGTGGTAGTGTGCTTCCTGAGGCTGTTTGTCCTTCTGCTCCCCTATATGATAATGGCTAAAGACAGAGGAATAATTCAGTGGTCACAGTCTCTTTCTTGAGCTCTTTGGGGTCAAAGATCCCCTTTTTGTATAGAGCTTTAAAGCAAACAAACCAAAGCTTACAAAGCACAAGGAGCATGCAGATATTACTTTAGGCCATGGTAGGAAGAATGTCACTGTTTTCAACTGCTGTATGAAATACAGTGGGTAGTAACATCACCACAAATCCTACAGGATGCTATTTCTGTTGATGTTTTAACACTAACATTTACATAGATGTTCGGTCACAGAGAAATGAAGAAAATTCTACCTCTTTCTCATTGTACCCACTGCTGATCTGGTAGAAGACAAAATATTCATGTCCTCATGTTAAATCTTACCTCTCTCATCATCCATCCATGATTACCCAAAAAACTTTCCTTTTTTTTTTCTTTTTTTTTTTTTTTCCCTTCATCTATCTAGTCCTGTGACCTGGAAGAAGTGATGATGGATGCTCTGGTCAATGACAAAACAGAATTCGTAAAATTATTTATTGACAATGGGGCTAACATATGTGAGTTCCTGACCCATGGTCGTCTGCAGCGACTCTACTGTTCCATTTCTCAGAAATGCCTCCTCTATGAACTGCTGAAGAAGCATGAAGAAAGCAACCTGTCCTTGGCAGTGCTCCCTGGTCTACAGCAAAATGAGCAGAAGGACAACAGCCCACTTTTCACTCTCAGTCAGGTCTCTAGAGTTCTCAAGGATTTTCTTCATGATGCATGGAAAGATTTCTACGAGGAAAAGTCTGTGAGTCCCAGCTTTGCATTGTAGTTCTGCTCCCCTCTAATTCAGAATTTGAACAACTTTAACTAGGTCTGGCCTTTGGGGGTGGGGCAGGGAAGGAAAGGGAAGATGACAGAACAGTCACTTTACTTTCTCATTCCTTTTTTCAGCACCTTATTTTTACAGCTAAAAATGCTTTGATCTTTTTAATTTCAAAACTAAAAGAGAAAAGAAAGGAATTTCTAAGACAGACTGTGATTTCTCTTTCTGCCCCTCTGTACATGGGGTTTCATGCAAGGTTCTGCTGTACCTTGAGCTACTGCTAAGTTATGGCCTTTGTTTCACAATCCCTGGAATCACAAATTTTACAGAAATAGAAATTTGCCCCCAAAATCTCTTAGCTTTTTGGCATTTGGCAGTAAGTGAGCTAAAGCCAAGTGCTGCAAATAAGGCTCAATTCAGGTATGACATCATGCTGCCTACTAGCTTCATTCCTTTAAAAGCTTCTTCCCGTGGCTCCTTCCCAACAGTGGCTCAATCCCATTATCACTGGCAACAGAAAGAGCTTCACAGTACTTGGATAACAGTGTCACTGCTGCTAAATCGCATGTCTTGTTTCAAGTTAGGAACTAGTGGTTACAAAGACAGATGAGACTTTTAGAATATCTATGTCTTCTGCAAGTTTTTCCATGCAATGCATTTGATAAATAGCTCACTAAAATATGAAGAACAGCTCCCCCCCAGCATCTCCCCAAAAATGTCATTAAAACAAATTTGAACAGAATCTCAAAATTTAAATGATTTAAAAACATATTCTCACAAGAACTTGTTTTATTCAAAATAAATGCACCCTGGCTGCTTCTAATTAACACAATAGATATAAAGGCAGTTTTTAAATATACTTAGAACTTGACCTAAGTGGCTACACTTCCTCTGGACAATTTTATATCTAGTGATAAAGGAATAAGCAGTGTTCTACTTAAGCTGCTCCCTGCATGAGGGAAAGGTTTCTCAAAGGAAAGACTAAAAGGGGGGATTGATGTACTCTATTCTTGTCCTGTACAGGGCCTTGGAGAGATTTATTTCTGTTGAAATAAAATGCCTTTTGTTCCCTTTTCTCTGAAACCATGTCCTCTGTGGCAGTTGAGCAGAGTCTAATATAATTGAAGGCAAGCTCAGATTAGTTAATCACAGGTTTGTTGTGTATGATATTACACACCAGCGGTGAAACCCCTTAATAAAGTCAATGAGAGCTTTACCGTTGGCTTCAATGGAGCCAACATTTCATCCAGAAATGTTCTCACACATATTGAGTTATCTCAGGGACACAACGGTTCTTTGACTCAGTACAGAACGAGCTAATTGCCTCTCAATCTTACAGAAAAGAAAAATAAAAAGTCAAAAGAATATGATGTAGCTGGCAAGGCTGAGAGCAGCTTAGATCATGTCATTTGGATGGAATGAGACTGAAAAGCAGGTTTTAATTTCTACAAACCATATTTCAGGATCACATGAATACAGAGCGAATGCCCTTGGATATGAACCAGAAATGTGAAAATCCTTGGAGGGATTTGTTTGTCTGGGCAGTACTTCAAAACCGGCACAAGATGGCAAACTATTTCTGGGCTATGGTAAGCTTTGAGCTGTAGCTGCTTCAGGTGAAATATTGGCATATTTCAAGTTTACGAGATTTTTTTTGCTCAGCTTTGCAGCTCAGATGTCAGATAGGTTTGTTTCCAAAACACGAGATGTGGCATTTACAGGGCCTTTCATCTCTGTGTGACTCATGCCAGTGGGGGCCAGAGGACCTGATGGAGGGAGGCAGAGCAGCAGCAGGTGTAAATCAGCACAGCCTGAAGCTCTGCTGCAGAGCTCCCCTCCCCTGCTCCTGATGACTCACCGCTGTCAGTCTCAGGTTTTGTGACTTCTACAATAAGTTCATTGTTTGGATCCAAGCGTGATGGGAGGGAAGATGGTGCAATGAAGCATCTTTAGCTTACGTTCCCTATGTGTAGGGAGCAACAGCATCACGCTTTCAAAGGCTGAGCTCCAAGCTAGCATAATTGGCTGCTGTTTTATAATTCCCCACAACCAAGGCCCTGTCTCCTGCATCTGGGAGCCTCCCTGCCCCCACAGAGCAAGACACAGCTATCAGGCTCCATCCCTGACCTTCCAGAGGACTGCATCTGGCAGAGGGGGGTCATGGGCAGGCTCATGCACAGCTCTTCAGCCTGCGAGTGTGTGTGTGTGCCTGCAGACACATCAGCGTTGCTACAGAAGGCACTGGTAACAGGGATCTTTCCTGAGTGCCCCTGCTGTGCCTCTGTCAGCTGTGGTCCCTTCTTCCTCATACATCCTTATGCAGGGTCTCAGCACAGCCGTGCTCAAGGCATCTCAGCACTCTGAGACTGTTTTGCTCCATTTCCATAGCACATTATTCTCTTTTCAGTCTGACTGCTACCCCAAATCTAAGAGCCTGGACCCAGAAGTCTCCAGCCTTACGAGGCACAAGAACTACCAATATGGAATCATACAATAGTTTGGGTTGGAAAGGACGGTAAAGATCATCTAGTTTCACCCCCCCCTGTGATGGGCAGGGACACAGCAGACCTCCCACTAGACCAGTTTTCTCAATGAGCCATCCAACCTGGCCTTGGACACTGTCAGGGATAGGGCATCCACAATATGTGGTTTTCAGCTCTCAAATATCATCAAACCTGTCACTTCGATCAACATTTTGGACTTTCAAATCTGCATTTGAGGGAAGATTTTTCTTGGACAGGGAGGCATGCATGAATTTTTTGTGGTTGCTGTCAGATGTGTTCCTTAGTGGAGTCCCCCCCTTCAGCAATGCTCTCCAGGGGGGGTAACAGCAGCACTCCTTTCAATTCTACAGGGTCGGGAGGGAGTAGCATCAGCTCTGGCAGCCTGCACCATCCTTAAAGAGATGTCCCACCTGGAGACAGAGACTGAAGTATCTGCTACAATGAAAGATGCCACGTATGATAAGCTTGCTGTTGGTAAGTAATGACACCTTTTGAATGGCATCAAAACTTTGAGAAGTAACTGCCACTGGAAGACAAGCAAGTGAAAAGAATACTGTTTCAGTCTCGCAGCACAGGCAATCCCAAACATCCAGATACCACAGAAAGACTTAAAACACAATCATTTTGGAAAAATCAGTGTTCCGAGACTGGGCCCTGGGATGCATGGCAGAAATTACTCTCCTGCTGCTTATTGGTATTTTAAGTGGTATTTATCTTAGCATAAGATGTGTTAGTGATGGGGAAGGCAGAATAACCAAAACATTTCCAGGCTCCCAGCAGCTTGGTTTTCCTGCAATATCAAGTGTGCTCTGTAAGGGCCACTAAAGCAACAAGTTTTGAGGTTTGTCATCGCTGCTAAAAATAACTTGAGATTACCTCACCCAGAAGAGGGCTAACTGCACTGCACACTGCAGTGAGGCTCAGGCTGGTTGTGCAGCAGACAAGCCACCCCTCCCTACAGCAGTCAGCATCCAGGCATCTGCAATGCTGGAATGCCAAGCCCTCTCCCCATTGCCTGGCTTAGAAACAGATGTCTGCACACAAGGGTGTCTGCTGATCTCACTTCAGTCCAATCCATACCTGGGAGCAGCACTGCTGTCAACAGAGGGCTTTAAAACATGCCACATGTGGAAACAAATGCAGATGCTCCTCTCCCCTTAGAACTAGTACATCAAGCAGCTGAAGGCTTATGCAGGCATTGCTACATTATTTACACACAGATCACATTTTCTTTTCTTGCTATGGGGCCATTATTATTTTAAAAAATTAAAAATCAGGTTCTTGTATAGTCACAGGAATTTAGTAATGGAATTACAGGGCCTAATCCAATCTGCTCCTTGGCTTTGATAAGTATTAGATCAGATCCTCAGTTTTAATTTCTGGCCTGGATAACCCTGTCAAACGTAAAGCAAACATTCCTTAGGAATGATAAATACCACAACAAGTACAAAAGATGTCTTTATATCAGCTTATTTTAAGTGAACTTGATCCTTTCTCCAGCCCTCACAGCGTAACAAAGTGTAGGCTGCTTTAGGAAAGGTACTGAGATAATCAAGTGAATTGGCAGAATGAAACAGACACAAGAAGTCAGAGCTTGTCTAATGAGAAAACACTGATCTTTTGGGGGGCTGCTCATCCTAGTTTCAAAGCTCCAGGACCAGTTTCTCTGGAAATAACTATGCCACAACACTCTATCAAGTCTAATATTACTTTATGTCAAACAGCTCTGTCTTAAACCCAAGTATTTGTTGGTTACAAGCCAGAGCTGAGCTGCTCCTTTTGTTTAGTGCATTCAGGAGAGTGGGGACAGCTTGGCAACTCATCCTTCAAAGTGCAAGAAGATCACCCCAAAGATGCAGGGTCTTTTGCTATTTACTAAAGCTCCACATGAGGCAGCTACAGATGAGGGACTGTAACAAGTACTGACATATTTCCAAGAAGTTGCTTATGCTGTCAGTAGGAGAACTCCAAAAGAAAAATTTCTCCTCAGATCAAACAACAATAAGATACAAACCCCAACCTGTTAGAGGCCCCAGGCTGAGAAGGGAGCATGCAGATAGAGAGAGGTAAGAGGGAGGTACTGAGAGATTTACTCCATTTTTCTGCAAATAGTGACAACTTTAAAATTAGAGTGATTTTTTTTCACCAAGGCCAATCTATATCATCTGCCTTCTGCCCCAACACATGTACACACACATGCAAAGTCATAGCAAGTTATTCTAGTGTCCAGCATCATTCCTTTCTCCCTCCCACCTCCTCTTAGCTCTCAGGCTCTTTTCAATTCCTTCAGCCTTGTAGAAGTCTCTGGTGTAGCAAGGAGCATCTGGCAGTGTTCAGGCTTTGCTACCACTGTGCTTCACCCTACACACACCACCCTCTTGTCTTACATAAATTTTTTTATTTTTTCTTTTAAATTACAAGATCTGTTTGTCTATGCTTCATTTGTCAGAACTGTTCAGTGAGTGCTACCGCAACAGTGAGGAGAGAGCGTTTGCTCTGTTGGTGAGGAAAAATCAGTACTGGAACAAAACCACCTGCCTTCAGTTGGCTACAGAAGCAGATGCGAAGACTTTCTTTGCACAGGATGGTGTCCAGGTAAGTTTTACATACCCCCTGGCACCTTAAGTTGGACACAGAAAAAGATAGCACAGCAACTGAACAAGCCCATGAAATATATTCCCCTAAGAGCCATTCTTCAAAGAAGGAACTCTTCTCTCTCCCTGGCGCCATATGAAGAGGACATTATACCATGTCCTTGCCAAAGCAACACAGTTCCTCCCTTTCCCCTTCCTTTCATCCAGTTGGCTCACATACCCAGTGTGCTGAGAAGATTTAGCCCTTAATCCATCGTGTGCTTTTTATTCCTTCCTTGCTCACAGAAAAGCATCAGAAAAGCACTGTAAATCTGCCTGGGGCATAATGAGGCTGCTCCAAGATGTGAGGTAACTCCTTGTTCAGATTCAAGAAAGAGCTCACTGATACAAGTTAATTCAAATTACTGTTCAGCTTTGCTTTTCACAACCTGAGTTCTCTCTGCATACGCAAAGCTAAATTAAGAGTGATGCTGCTTATAGCTCCCAGTGCCTGACTTGTGCTTTCTTAGTACTACAGATGTTGCTTAATTCCATTTGACTTGCTGTTCTTGCCACTGGTCTCTTAATAACTCTTTGCATACTCAACAGCTGCAGAAGGATGCGCAGAACGTCTGTTTGCTCTGAAGGTGTACCTGTTCTTCAGGTCTCCAGAGCATTCGCTGTCTCAGGAGTCACAGAACATATGTGTACTTCATCTGCAAGTATGTTTTTGTGATGTTAAAGCCATATCTCATTTTTTTTGACTTTCAGGCCTTCCTGACAAAAATATGGTGGGGAGACATGTCTCCAAGCACAAAGATCTGGAAGTTTATCTGTGCGTTCTTCTGTCCTTTCCTAATCTACACAAACTTCATATCATTCAGGTATAAACATAACTATTTGAGTGCAAAACATAAGGAAGCAATGAAAAATAAGCCATAAAATAACATTCAGACTCCAAATTTCTCACCTAAGTGATTAAACCAGTAATATAATCTCAGAGTGTCAAAAGGACTGCACTGCTATTAACCCAATCAGTTTTCTACGGGGCTGAGTGATTTATGTCCTTGATTAGTGCCTGTTCTCATCCTTAAAAGATCAATGCCATGGTTTCACATAAATCATTTCTATTCTGCAGAGTCCACAGAAAAGCCTGTTGGAATTCTGTCAGCTCCAGATTCCACACAGTAATGTGTAGAATATGTCTAGGTGTAGCTCCATCTGTTTCTAGATTTGGAAATGCCTGATTCAAACCCCAGTATCATATCAAGGAAAACAGCCATCACAAAGCAGCTATTCTCAGCCACAAGCCTTGATAACCATAAGTCAAGCTTAAACACAGGACTGACATTAAACCAGTTAAGATTTTCAAATTCAGTGCCTTAGGACATCTCTTTGTTAGTCTTCTGCAGGCATAACTTTGAAGTTGTAGTTTTCAGCTCTTTGTCACAAAGAAGATGTCTAGAATCTTAGGGTTTCTTTTAAAAAAAACCCCATACATACACACACACACACACACAAAACCCTACAAAACCCAACCAAACAAAAAAACAGAAAAGAAAAAACAGAGCAGCCAAGATGCTCAGACACTCATAAAAATGCAGGATCTGAAACTTTCAGAAAACCTCATAATATTCATAGAGTCATGTACAAATCATCAGAACTGGCACTATGGAATGACATGTAATTATGAAAAAACATGTTTCTTAACTGTTAAACTACTTAAAAAGCAAGAGGAAAACTTGTTTAACACTGCTGACTTAAGACTTTCCCTCTTCTAGTATAACTAAAGATGACCTTCTTGCCATACTGGCTGCCAGATTCACAAATTCAAGTACTTCAATGTGATATTTTGGCAAAGTTTTCATGGAAAGGTTTAAATTTTGATTCATAATCAAAGTAAGCCTTTCCAATTTTCCATTTTTTTTGCCTTCTTTCCCTGAAAAAGCAAGAGTTGACACATGTTCCCTACTGCTTCTGGCATTTCCTCTCTTAATTGCTACTAAGAGTAACTAGGAATGGAGCACTGGGGAATTGTCCCCTAGACTGACTGAGGGATTTCTTTCTGCTCTAATCATAAGTAAGTTGAGGAAACTGACCATCCTGCTCCATTTTTGTGAAGCATGCCAATTATCACTTTTCTGAATCTTGTGTGTGACTTCAACCTTCTCCTTAAAAGTAAACAAAATTTGTAAAGGTAAGGATTATGCTTTATTTGATAGATTCCCTGTGCACCGAGGTCAAGACAAGTACATGCTAGCAGTTCTGTATCAATACCAATTTAGTAGTGAAAAATGGCTAAGCATCATCTTTCAACTAATGAGTGTATTTCCTTAAAGGGAAGAAAAACAACCAAAGAATGAGCCACTTAAAGATCTAGACAATTTGGATACAGAGAGGACTCAACTTTTTTCCAAGGAAGAAGATAGGTAAGTTTCAAAACACTAGTTATAACTTCTGTGACAACAGTTAAAGAACAGGAGACTTCTTGTGGATTAGTGACCAGTTAATGATCTAAGGAGCAGCTGAAGGACCAAGAAAGTTTTTACTCCTCATAAAGTGCTGTTCCATCTGATTACTGCTGTTGTTGCTCTCTAAAAGTAATATAGAAAATAAACAGGGATATATCACTGTTTTTAGGAGACACAACCTGCTCTGAGCAGGTAATTTGTACAGAACAAGGAGTCTGCTCAATACCTTGGGAATCAGATAGCATTTCTTGACATTCCCTTCAGCTCATGATGGCTGATATACACTGGATTTTAGAAACTTATCAGGTTCTCAGCAAAACCTTACATTATCTGAGGACATCACTGCTTACTTTCCTACAAAGGCATACTTGCACACACCAGCACCAGGGAATTTCACATGAAGTCAGCTTCTCACCATACTAGTGCTCTTCATTCATATTTTAAAGATGAGTTCTGAGGAACCTTATGCATTAGAGGGAGCATCACACAAATGAGTAACTGAGCACAAGGATTTTGTCAGTTGCTCGTGGTCATTCATTGATCTGTGATTCTGAACCGAATATCTCTACCTCTACCACACACTCATCACCAAAACCTGGGAGGCCACAAGGCTACAAGTCAGGATGAGAAGACTTGATTGGTGCAAAGTCCTCATAATGGCTAAGTAGTGCTAAATAGCCACTTGGACTAAGCTTTTCTGTAATTTAAAGAGAACTTCAGAAATATGTGACCAACGGTAGAGAGGAAACATCATCTGCAGTCCTGGACCAAGTCAGAGTTATTAGGTTCTATTTTTACCTCTGACATTTATCTGCTGGTACATTGGAGAAAATCATTAGTTCCTCTCTCTCCCTCCCTAACCTATAAAATAGGTGTAAAAGCATCTGCCTCTTGGGAGCTATTTGTAAGCAATATCATAAAGCACTTCCATATCCTGAGTGCAGTGTGGTTTGGTCATTACATTGTGTGTTCCAATTGCTATTATCTTAGCAATTTATTTTAACAAAGAGGCTCTCTCCCTCCCAGATCTATTTCAGCATCTTACTGTAAAGCTGCAATTATCTGTTTATGATATTAGCCTGCTACCATGGGAATGTGTCTTATGATGTCATAAATTGAGAGGTAGTACAGAATGAGGCACATAGAAAATATTGTCTGTGAGCAGAAATTTTTCCTTTTAACAAATGTATTTAATAATTAGCAAGACTGTCAGAGGAAATTAAAAACCAGTGAAGAGTCATTGTTTCTTTTCTGTGAGGTGAAATTGAAAATATACCCTAGTGTGTGCATCCTTCATTGGAGATCACACCTCTCAGAGTCAGAATTACAAAATTAAAGATCCAATAACATCCCTAGCTTACACAGGAGAGCATTTTATGTGGAAACAAATCCTCACACAAAGATCAGATTGCTATCAAACACAGGGAACTTGCATTTTCTGCACAGGATATTTTCCACTGCCAATAGATATCACTTCATGTTCCAAAACACAGCAAAATAACTGTAGATGTACAGGTCAAATTTCCCTTCATCTACCAAAATACTTGTGTCATTCCACAATAGTCAAAGTCTATGTTAATGCATAATTTATGAGGTCAGCTCTTTTTGCTAAAGGTTTCTATATTGCTTATTCTGCAACTTACTTTAATGTAATCATAAAGGGCAAGATGCCAGTTGTGTAGAGGACTAAAGCATTACTTCAGTAGTTCCCTCAGACTCCAGCAAGGATAGTCAAGAAAAATGCATAATGTGATCCAGCACTGTGAGTCTGGGTCAAAAGTTTAAAAGTCACAGCCACAACAAGAACTTATGCATGAAAACACTGCAAAGAAAATTTTAGTGCCAAAATAATTAAGAACTGACTTGCAAACGACATTGACCATTTTTTTGTTCTTTACTATGATTTAGGACAATAAAGAGCAATTAGCTTCCTTTCTGTGTTCCATTTGTATTTGCACTGTGTTTGCACTACATGTAGAAATACAATGAAGTTACAAATCAGAGTAACACAACTAAGCTCAAGAAACAAGAATGTGCATTTAGGTCTGATGCGACTTTGTTTTTCAAAACTTTCCTTTTGATCAGAAATATTTCTGCTCTGACTTCTATAGCCTTCCTCCCTTGTCACCCTCAGCATCTGCATGTTACTATCTTACAAGAAGCTTTAGATAGAATAATATGGAGCCTCTTCCCATGAACTAATTTTAGGAAATTGTCACCAAGCCTATATTCTTTTTGGTTTGCAGAGAAAATGGTAAAGTGGAAAACAACTCTTCTGAAAATACAGCGTGGAGGACATTCATGCATAGCCGGTGCATAAAATTCTGCAGTGCCCCTGTAACTGTATTTATGGGGAATGTTGTAATGTACTTTTTTTTTCTGTCTCTATATACTTATGTGCTTTTACTGGACTTTAAACTACCTCCACCAGAGGGTCCATCTGTATTCGAAATTATACTATACTTCTGGGTGTTTACCTTTGTCTTGGAAGAGATCCGACAGGTAAGTAACTTACACCGTCTTAGTAATAACACAGTAAAACTTGAAGCAATATTTTCAACAGATTTGCAATCTGTATAACTGTACAAGCTTTAGGATTTCAAGTGTCAGGTTGCACAGGTGAACCATACTGAACTTACATTATCCAAAACATCTCACCTTTATCAAGAGCAAGCTCTTCCTCCACCATATAAACCTATAGCTCCCCCTCTGTTTTTCCATCATACTCCAGGTATAGCCAAGTCAAGTAGGCTGCCAACATTCAGATATTCTTCACTTTGTAAAGTCACTCTCTGATTTCACTCCCCAGAACTAGGTCCTTCCACCACAAATGTAAGTTGGTAGTTATATTCTACACCTGGAAACACAGCAGACAACTCTACTTCCATTTAAGAGATTATTCCCCACTGTTAAAAAAAAACCAAACCAACAAACAATTAAATGATTTCTGATTATTTGTGTTTTTCCCTAAAATGCTTCTCAACTGAAAACATTAGCAGATCTCTTTTGGGTTTCCTTTTCTTCAAACAAACATAGAAAACCACCAACCCCCCAAAACCTTTCTCCATTACTCTGCCATTACTGGTTTTGGAATGTCCTTGGCTCAACAACTGAAACAATGTGTGAATCGTGGTGTTAGTGTGCTGCCAACAGTGGGTGCATAAAGCCCTTCTCTTTAGACACAAAAAACCCAGTAAAAAACAGTTAGTCTGGCAGAACCAATAGGTGTTCATTATCTAAGCAATAGGAACAGGGAAGGGGATCCCAGTTTGTTACAAGTTGTTTGAAATTATGCAGCAAGGCCATAACCAGAGGAGGTCATGGAAAATATCTGCATCAAAGACCATTTCATTACAAACCTGTAAAACATAAAGAGTGAAGGCTAAAACCCAATTTAGAAACCCAACCCCTTGCCTAGATAATCAAATGTGCCTTCACTGACAATTCCACAAATGTCAAATCTGTTCATGCTGTTTAGGTAGCAATGTCCAGAAACTGAACTGTGTCTGGAAGTTGTTGTATTGCTGAAGAGGTTGAATGTTGACAAAACCATAGAATCACAGAATGGTTTGGATTGGAAGGTCATCTAGTTCCAAACCCCACTGGTATAGGCAGGGACACCTTCCACCTAGACCAGGTTGCTCAGAGCCCCATCCAGCCTGGCCTAGAACACTTCCAGGGATGGAGCAGCCACAGCTGTCCTGGGCAACCTGTTCCAGTGCCTCGCTACCCTCATGGTAAAGAATTTCTTCTGTGAAATCTTGAATCAGGCCTCAAAAATTCTTAAGGAATATTCTTAATTAGGAATTTAGTTTTGTTCTTTCCAGTGAAAGAGAAAAAGGAAACAGATATCTTACCAGTGAGACTGGTAGCACATCAATACCAATGATTCTTTCTCTTTTTCAGAGTTTCTATATGGATGAAGACAAAAAATTAATAAAAAAATTTAAACTGTATGTAGAGGATAACTGGAATAAATGTGACATGGTGGCCAACATTCTTTTCATCATTGGGGTAACCTGCAGGTATGCATTTGTTCCTTGGGATGCAGTCAGCATCAGTAGCAAGGGCTGTGTAAGCCAACTGACAGCAGAGTCTCACGTGCATGTGAGGACCAGCTGTGACATTTATCTTTACAAGCTTTGAGACATGTTTCTCCAAAGTTGTCTTGAAACCTAGAAGTTGCTCCAGAAACCACAAAAATACATACTGATGTATTCAGACACATACTGAAAAGCTCTGCTTTTCTTTGTTTGTTTTTGACAACTGCTTTTACTCGAGGTTGAAACCGAAGGAGAGAGAACAGTGTTCCTCCATCTTTGGGCTATTTCTCATCAATCTACAGATATTATGTTATGTTCCTCTTACAGGTTTATGCAACCACAGCCCTGAAGCACTTGTCTTTTCCTAACTAGGCTGTGCCTGGAACCCAAGTTCTGTATTTGAGAAAATACTTCACAACAGTACTTGCTGAGAGCTGATATTTTATTTCATGTGTCCTGCAGGATGCGGAACTCAACCTTTGAAGCTGGCCGTGCTATACTTGCCATTGATTTTATAGTGTTTACACTTAGACTTATACATATTTTTGCAATTCACAAACAACTTGGACCCAAGATCATAATTGTGGAAAGGATGGTAAGTGTGCCATCTCCCTCAGATAAATTCTTGTGCCTTTTAAGAAATGGAGAGTAGGAAATCTTTTCTTTAGAAAGGAAATCAGTTTATAATCTATCTTTATTTTTACATTTTTAAGGCTTCTCACTTTGCATATATTCCGTTATTTTATTAAGAATATTAGATGAAGTATGTTTGAAATAGATCCTTCTGAAGAGCTCTGTAGTGTAATCACTTTGTCCCAATTTATGAATCCTTGTACCTTACCCAATAATTTATTCTCAGATCTGGCAAATGAAGAGTAGAGTGTGTCTGACTTACTGCTATTCCTCCAACTTCATAAGCTGTGTGCATCCAGAGCAAAGACCTTAGACAGAAAACAGCCCATGTGCAGAAGGGCAAGGCATTCACTGAAGAGCTCTGTAGTGTAATCACTTTGTCCCAATTTATGAATCCTTGTACCTTACCCAATAATTTATTCTCAGATCTGGCAAATGAAGAGTAGAGTGTGTCTGACTTACTGCTATTCCTCCAACTTCATAAGCTGTGTGCATCCAGAGCAAAGACCTTAGACAGAAAACAGCCCATGTGCAGAAGGGCAAGGCATTCACTTAATGACTCTGCTCAGGGAAAAAGAGATTACATTGTTTTGCAAGAAGTGTGAAAAAACCCTCCCATATAAAAGGATAGTTGCAAGTTTCCCACGGGAGTTATTCTTACTTGTACTTTTTAGCTCCAAGTTAGAATGAAAACATATTAGTACTTTGTGCACATATGTTGGGAGACATTTTTGTTTATTACTACTCTCCTGCAGGAAATAATACATTGGGACCACAGTTATTGTGCTTGGGTATGCATTGATATGTTGAAGTAGCTTTTCATTTAGTCATAGTAATCCTCCAGGTCAATTAGCTCATGGTAACTGATTAATAGAGTTCATCTGATTGTAAGTGCTCTTATAGAATCTACAAATATTTAATTTGTGACTCACAGCAGAGCTCAGTAAAAGCTTTGTAGTCTAAACAAGCCTATACATTGAACAAATAAAACTACCAGGCTATTTGGATTTGGCTACAAATGCAATAACTGGAACTCTAACATGACATTTGGTTGGAGTAGAAAAAGAGTAAATAAATACTTGCTCTTCATCATCTAGCTTACAGCATTTGCAGACTTCTATTTCAAGAGAGCAAGTCAGACCTGCACTTTCTAACTCATCCTTTGCTGCACAGCAAACTAAACCAGGGCCTTGAAAAAGTACATTGATGTGCCCACTATGTTGGCATCTGAAGTCATGTAAGATAATACACGGATTGAGAAGATGCAAATAAGAACAGCAGCCTAGACAAAACCATAAAATGGGACCTTTCACCTTCCACCCCTACCAAGCCAACACAATGCCTTAGCTTTGGTAGTTCAACATTGAACCTTACATCAAATGAAAGAGCAGTGAAAGTTACTTCAGTAAATGAAACCTTGTTGAAAGGTTCATCAAGGGAGTTCAAGCAAGATCATTTCCATTACTTAAGCAAAAAAGCAATCAATGATGGTCTCTCACTGTCTTTCTCCTTTATAATGCCCAGTCCCAGAGAGACAGCAGATTGGAAAAGAGCATTTCCAGACTTGCCACTGCTCTCCCATTATTGTGACACCATTACAGTCCTGCAGCATTAATGAATTTTAAATCATCCAGAAAACAAAACAGACTGATGAAAGTCAGAGAGACATCAACTATGTCTTGCCTGGCTTAGCGACTGTGTTTCTTAATAGAACTCCAGGTAACATCCTGGAGGTCTGAAATGCTTATGCATTTGGGTAACTGTACAATGCAATAATCTAATTGAAATGAATCTACAGTCCCTAATGAACTCTGTCAGATTAGATGGGAAGAGGATGAAGTGTTCCTCCTCCACCAGGGAAAAATTATTGCACTCGAAACACATACTAGATGTTTTTTTAAGTAAGTGTTTTAGGATTCAATTACTTCTGCTTCTGTAGAGAAACAGAATGTTTAAAAGCAGGAAGACCTGAAAACAATCCCTCAGATGCATCACTTAGCTTGAAAGCTGAAGACAGAAGGAACCTGATCCTTGCAGCCTTCACTGTCTGCTGTCCATGGTTCAGGATTCATCAATGAGCACTGACTGTTACCAGGATTCTCTGCCTTAGCAGAACTCTTGCTCAGTAAAGTAGTCCATGGTGCTGAGACATCTCACAGAAAATATACATTTAAAAGGTACAGTGAGATTCACTTAAAAAATGATGTGTGTTCCATTTTCAAATGTTAGATGATTGCAAAGCAAGGGTTTAGTTTAAAACGTGCCTTTACCTAAATGAGCTATCGAAGCAAAATGCTTATCACAGGCCAAGAAAAATATGATAACAGCAAGGTCAGGAGAAGAATTCTGTGCATGGAACTGTATCCTGTTCCACCTCCTTTAGCCTAAACAAGCTTGTAAAGAATTATTTGAGCCATATTCATACAGATAGACTACTGCACTTTGACTATGCTGTCACAGTCACTGCTCCTCCTTTTCTCCCCTCCCCCTCTCTTTTGTAGATGAAGGATGTTTTCTTCTTTCTGTTTTTCTTGAGTGTGTGGCTCATTGCCTACGGTGTGACAACTCAAGCTCTGCTCCATCCCCATGACAGCCGAGTGGAGTGGATATTCAGACGGGTGCTTTATCGTCCTTACCTTCAGATATTTGGCCAGATTCCACTGGATGAAATTGACAGTAAGGAAATTTCTTTCCCCCTAACTTGGCCCTTTTTGAATACACTTATTAGAGCCTGGAATTCCTTCCAAGTATTGTCTTTTTTGATTTATTTATTTTATTTTGCTTTTAATGCTTGTCCTACAGGCCAAAGCTTTCACACTACCATGACATAAACAGTGTATTTGCAAAGAGATAATGTGCATCTTAGAATCACATTAAAGCATCAGGGCTGGCCCTATTTAGACAAGCTCTCTGGAATATTGACACAAGGATTTGCAGTTTTAAAGTCTGGCATACGTTCCCTCATTTCAATCCATTTCTGTTCAGTTAAACCTAGGGCCAGATAACCTTGTGTAAACTGCAATAATAGTACCTCCATACATTTTGGCAGTAGTTTAACATGACAATGTTAAAGCAGTGCTGCTCTGCCCATAAGCAAACACTTATATTTTAGAATAAATATTCCTCTAGAGCATTTATTTACTCTGGAGGTAAAGCTGCCCAAATCAAATAAAGCTAGTAATTGCTTATGTGCAACACTGCAAATAAAACAATACAAAAATAATCACAAGACACAGAAATAATTAGACATAAAAGTTCAAAGCAACATTTCTGACAGGTAAGAAGGTAAAATGTAGAATAGGTCATCTCCAAAGAAGTCTGCAAGAATTAGTTCAGTAGTTCAAGTAAAGAACTGTCCTTTTAGGCTGGAGTCTTGTATTTACAGTCCTGCTAGTAGTCAGCAAGGGCAGTACAAAAATACTATCACAATATTGGGTTTAAGTTTTAATGACTGTAAAATATTCAGAACAAAATTATGCTACTGCTTATATGCAGCCAATATTAGATCTCATTTTAGTGATATTATCTTTGTCCTTGATTTTTATTTTAACAGTAAAGGTGCCAAATCTACACATCCATCCATGTCACTAGTTCATAAAAAAAAGACATGTTTAAAGATACTAAATCAGTTTTTATTTGCACTGAAATAGCTGTGAAATACATTACTTCAGACCTCAGGAACAATCTATAATTCTTGCCATTCTTTGTCAAAAATCAGAAATCTTGCACACCAAAATGCAAAGCTTTTGTCTCCACTCTGAGAAATACATGTAGCAGCAGGATTTGTCAAAAGTATTCTTTTATACCTATACCTCCTTTGCAGCATCACGATCATTTCCTGGGAACTGTACATTTAATCCACTGCAGATTCTGCAAGACAACATACCATCGTGTCCTCATAGCTATGCCAACTGGCTCGTCATACTTCTGCTGGTTATCTTCCTCCTAGTCACAAATGTTCTCCTTATGAATCTCCTGATTGCTATGTTCAGGTGAGAGTGATTTCACTAAGTATAAAGACAGAAGCTGCAAAGGTGTAAGTGAGTGCCCACATTTACTACATTGCTGTTGGCAATTCATTTTGGAATACACTTGCCATGTTCCTAATGAATATTGTTTGGGGCTTGATAGGCAGACCCCTATGATCATATAGCTCTTAAGTTCTCATCATCCTTACTCTAGCCACATTGAAGACAAGAAGAAAAGAAGTCTCTTTTACTGCTCCAAGTTCAATTAAGCATGCATAGAAGGGTCTGGGTCCCTGGCTGTGCTGCAGTCCAAGTCTGCAGGTGCAAAGCAGCAGTAGATTTGGCAGACTTTCAGAGGATGATCTGCACATGGAGGAAATGGTTGTTGTCAACACAGCTAATAATGATTCATTTGGTTGAAGAACTGATGTGGCATGTTTGCTGATATTGCTTTAGTGAAGTAGAATTACCTTTCTTAAAAAAACCCAACAAAACAAGCCAAATCAAATATATCTTTTAACATTTGAAGACTGCAACTACTTTAACATCTAAAAATTTGCACAAATTTTACATTAAATCAACACTACTTCCTGAGCTTGCCATTCCTTTTATAAAGTAAATTTTGTAATAATAAGCTTTAACTTGTTGTGGCAAAAAAAGTTATATACTTTTTTTTCTCCCCCTCCTCCCCTCCCAATTACAGTTACACTTTTCAAGTTGTTCAGGGCAATACAGACATCTTCTGGAAGGTTCAGCGCTACAGCCTGATCGTGGAGTATCACAGCCGGCCTGTCTTACCACCACCATTTATCATTATAAACCACGTAATTCTGGTTCTCAGAAGACTCTTCAACAAAGTGAAACATAAAAAAACCTATCTGGGTGAGTTGATAGCAAACATCTAGCCACTGGAGACCCTGACACTCTCCTAGGACATGGTGCATAGCCAAAATAGAAGAGCAAGTCAGATTTCCTTAAGCCAAGACTCACAATTTATTTTTAACCAACAGTGCCAGGGGAGTACAAATTATAAATAAAGGCTTATAACATATGCTATAAACAGTTTCCCACAATGTATTTCTTTGTGCACCATAGTTATATCAAAGGTGGCAATAGAAAAGTAGTTAAAGGGATTTGATTTCTGAAAACATAGCAGTGGACAGATTTAATGAATCTGATACTCAATTTGCTCCTGAATTTTAGTAATTATTAAGTATGGACAAGCCTAAAACCAAATACCAAGTCTAAAAATCTACTAGGATCAGTGGAATTTCCCAATACAGAGACATGGAGCAAGGACTCCTAGAGAAATGGTGGTGTCTTAAAAGTTCTAATTAGGATGGCAGATGAAGTTCAGCTAATTACAGAAGGCATTTGGGGGCTTCCTATCATGATGGCAAACTTGGTAGTGTCTGCTAAGAAGCCTATTTACTCCTCATGCACAGGCTGATGATGGGCTTTGTAGCAGAACTGTACTCAGACTGGACCAATTCATAGCCCTTTGAGTAAGGCCCCTTTCAGACACACTCCCTCCAGATAGCAAAGTGTACTGCTGAAGATTCTTAAAAAAAAATAAAGTCTTTTTTCTCCTAAGAAAGCAAGTTCCTGACCACTCAGCTTATAGATTCAGCAGTGTTTGGACCATGCAGCAAATGTACCCGTTTACCCATCTTTGGAAAGATGCAAAACTAGTATGTTATATTCAAAATATATGTGTGAAATTGAGGCCTGATGTTGGCTTGGACACTTGACATTATATTTCAAGTTTGTCCTTCCTGTTTATAATAGTTCTAGTAAAGAAGCTTAGATGATAAAGTGCATCTGAACATGAAACTGTGCTTATTGAATACTTTGGGGCTAAAATGTGTCACCAGTCCAGTAAGGTTGTAAATGAGTTTAAACAAAACCACAGAAATTAGTTGATGCTGTACTTCAGAAAATTCAGGAGTCATATTCAAGTGCAAAAAAGTCTACTGCCTGCCACCACAAGAAAAAAAGTAGCTAGGAAATACTTACTTTCCACTGTATTTTCACAACATGACTCCTGCAATTACAAAGGGCCTGAAAAAGTAGCTAGGAAATACTTACTTTCCGCTGTATTTTCACAGCATGACTCCTGCAATTCCAAAGGGCCTGCAATGGTAAGACTTCAGGAGCTGCAGTGACAGGACAAGGGGCAATGGGTACAAATTGAAAGAGGGGAAATTTAGGTTAGATATTAGAAAAAGATTTTTCCCTGTGAGGGTGGTGAGGCACTGGCACAGGTTGCTCAGGGAGGCTGTGGCTGCCCCAACCCTGGCAGTGTTCAAAGCCAGGTTGGATGAAGCCTTGAGCAACCTGCTCTGGTGGGAGGTGTCCCTGCCCAGGACAGGGGGGTTTGGGACCAGATGATCTGGTCCAACCCCTAAAATTCTATGATTCTATGATTCTATGACTTCATTTTCCCTTAGCATATCAGACTTTTGCTACTAGTATAAGAGAATAGGGAGCAAAATATAATTCTTCATTTATTCTTCCTACAGACAGAGATCTAGATCAAAAAATCATAAAATGGGAGCTGGCGCAAAAAGACCAATATCTCGTAAGACTTGAACAAGAAAAGAAAGAAAGCAATGAAGAAAGGCTAAAGGCCACATCTAACAAGTATGTTATTCTGACCCACAAGAAGTGTACCTTGCAAGTCTTTGCCTTTGAATGAGATTAACATTTTGGTCGTTGGAAAGCTTATATGAAGGGTTCAGTTGGAATACAGTTAGGAAATACACAGTCCATGAAAAACTGTGAGAAGCCAGCATCACTATAATATTAAAAGAGTTTTTGTCATTCTTGAAGTATGTGCAGTTACAGACCTGTATCCTCCAGCCAAACCTGCAGTCAAACTCAGTGAAAATCCTATTAATGAAGAAATGGTGGAAGAGTAGTTTATTTGCTATACTGCAGCACATATTCTGCCATCCCCTGCAGGAATACAACACAGACCTTTGAAGGCTTAGACTTTTGAAGTTCAAAGATAAACTTTGGAAGTTCAAGATATCTTGAATTACCCCCAGCTAACAGATGCAAAACAACTAACTATTTATGGCTTTATAGCCTGAGACTGTCTCCATTTACCTCTCTAAAATATCTCCCCACTAGGAATATCAATTAAATTGGTTTAGTATGCTAAAGTCCTAAATTATTATTCGGAGCTTTATGCCTTCAAGTGAGACACAAAATAGTTATATGCAGGAAAAACAGAAACATCTAAGGCAATACTAAAAGCTAGACAGCAAAGCAGTCTTTAAATAAGCTTTCAACACCTGTTCCAGCTGTTTCCTCTTGTAATAAAGCTCACTTCAAACAGAAGCACAATGGGTGTGAAAGTTACCATAACAAGAAAGTTCCATAGAAATATGCTTGTGCTGTCTGCTTTCTTTCAGAACAAACCTCTATCTGTCTAACTCAGAATAGCTGGAGACCAGACCAGCATACTTATGATCTTAGAAAATGCTCTTTTCCCTCCAGTTTACATTGACTCTTAATTCATAATAATTTAGAATGATTATGTTGGTTTAAACCTTTTTCTCATAAGCAAATCACTGACAAACCCTAGGAGTGAGAGCTTCATTGTTGAGATAAAGCAATAACTATGTGTGTAATTGCTCCCAAACAAAGGGCACAATTATATTCTTTTCTAGCTTGAAAGCTAAAATGCTTTAAAGATGGTACATTGCAGGTGAAGTTACTGCTTGGAGGGAAAAAGTGAGAATCTGTCTGGCTTCACAGTATTCCAGGTATAGCAGAGCCAGAAAGTGACTGGGAAAGGTTCCACTAAACCTGTAGCTTTTCATCTTTACTCTTGGGTGGTAGCAGTAGTTTTTTTAAATATTATGAAAACCTCAGAAACTGATTCTTTGAACTTTGCACTGAACCAACCTCAAAACAACTGATTCTTTGAACTTTGCACTGAACTAACCTGAAAATGTATTAGACCCACCCAGCAGCATGGTTTTTTTCTTAGATGTGATTGGAACATTCCTCTTTAGAGGGAAACTTTGAATTGGTAGCTAGGAGAAAGCAGAGATGGGTTTGCTGAACCTATGGGGAATAAGATGCTAATAAGGAACTGGTGGGAGAAGAGGTGAAGGATGAAGAAAGCATGTGGCTAATTCAATGATTTGGAGACACTATATGGAAGTTCCCTATACAATCCATTTGGATTGCATGCAAAAAGGGGTTTGAATGTGGATTTTCCAAACATGAAACCCTGCATAAATTTTTAGTGTCTTGTCTCCTCTGTGTTGATGGAAAACATTGTGGCCTCAGTTCTCACACCAGATCGGTTTCCATTTGGTACAGGTGGGAGAGCCACATATGTTGCTGAAGAGACAAAGAAAGTCCTTTGTCCTTCCCTTGATTTCCATGGCAGCTGGGGCTAAGTGGCCCTCAGCAGAAGCTGAGCAGCTGCTGTGGTCTGTGTCAGTTTATGAGTTCCCTGGCCAACAGGTGCATGAGAGTGTTCCAGAGATGCTGTCCTGTCCAATAAATACTTCAGAGAACACCTCAAAAGGACAAAGCTTTTAGGGGGCTCTGGGATGTCTGACCAGCACAGAACTGGCAGCAAGGGGCTACAGCTCTAGGAAGTTAAGTGGGGTTTGTGTTTTATGGTTTGTTCTGAGGCCTTTCCATTTTGCTCAGTGTGTCTGCTTTGTTTCCACAGGCTGGATAATTTGTTTAAAGAACAAGAAAAAAGGTTTAAAGCTCTGGAAGCCCGGGTAAGTAATAGTTTTATAGGCATTTATATCAGCTTTAGGATGTCTCCATGTTTCTCTCAGTTAATGGTGCTTTGGCAGACCCTGTTTAGGCATAAATGGAAGGAGAAATGGATCTGTGTTATGGTTTCACTTGGCTTATTGTTTTCTCTCTGCTGATATACATATGTAAAGAAACATTTCTGACCTCAGGTAGAAAGGAGAAAAGGCAATACAACATTTCTTGTGCTCTTTACTAGTCTTCTTAAGAGGTGTTTATTTCCTTCCTTAAGGATGCTTATGGAAGGAAACACTTCATCTTCCCCACTCCATTCTCAGCCTTCTCCTATTCCTTTCTTTCTTTAAACCTTTCAGCTTGAAAAATGCCCATATTCTGTCTGATCTGACCTAATCTTCTTGGACATCAGTTTTTCTACTTTTCTTAGCCACCAGGTACCAATTTCTCACAGGGAAGTGTCAAACATAGATCTGTGAAATGCAAATAATAAAAGGAAACCCTGTCTTGAGGTTTTGATGACCAACCCTTGAAATATAAACAAACATTCCTTAATCAGTCTGAAAATGCTCAGCATTACCATGTACTGTGTAGCACAACTGTTGTTTTCTTTATCCCTACAACTCTCCAGTATAATTTTGGCCTCTCTGAAAGTTCCTTATCTTAATACTTCCATTGCAGTTTCCCTCCCTTCTTATCTATTTTATGGCTTCCTGAAAAAAAGTCATGCCAGACAGGTCCAACAGGAACACACAAGGAATGCTTTAATAAGTTTGTGCCATCTTGAGATCATACAATATACTCACAAAAAAAAAAAGAGAATGTATTTAATCACTACCTATTTTGTAGATTTCACAACTGTACAGCTGTTATGACAAAGGTTTTAATCAAAACCCAACATCTTGTGCACCCAACCAGCCCCAATCTATACATGTAAGTATTGAAAACAATCATGGAAAAGCTAATCAATACAGTTAACAATGTGGTTTAAAAATGCAAGGGAAAAAAAAAAAGGTTGGAAAAAACTCACATCAGGAGATACCTAGAGGTAATGGGAATATAAATGAGGAACAGAATATTCATACTTCAGAATGAAAAAAAATTACCTTATGCAAAATGTATTTAAAAGATGTGGGGAAAGGACTGTCATTTAGTGTGAGTTAGAATAATCTCACCCAACTTCAAGCATGTAAACAAGTATCTTTTTGCCACAGAAGATTGTCTTGGGGACTTCTTGAGACAGAGATAGTCCTACCGAAGTATTAAGAAAATATTTAATATGGATAACAGTAATCATTAAAAATAAAGACTGAGCAACTCTCCTACTTCGTTTTGATCATTAGAGTTAATTTGCCTTCAGAGCTGCAACTATTTCTGTCAGTTAAGAATCTTTTCCTGTGTCCCAGGGCTCCACTGTTTGGAGTTTGAAACATTAGAGAGAGAGAAACTGAGTGTTTCTCAGCCGTTGTAGCATATCCAACACAATAACAATTTTGGATATTCTTCTTAATGGTCTATTTCAATATATACCTGTTGCTATCTATCACCCTCAAAAACCCATAAACTGAACATATACTACATGGAAAAAAGTAGCTGAAAACTCAACAGGCATGACATGACAAGACCTCAAGCTACTCAGACTCAAGTTAACCTCAAACTTTGCTAAATCCTGCCAGAAGCTTATAGACCACTTATGTGAATTGCATCATGATCAGCATTCCAGTAAAACCCATCCTGTAACATGCTCCCCAGACATTTTAACACCATAACTGCACAAAAATCAGAAACTTAAATAGCTGAAAAAGAAACCTCTGTTTATAATTTACTGAGCAAATGCAAACTAATGGAATCTACAGTATCTTTGTTTTTTCCAACATTTTAAAGTTTTTTAAGCAATTACTATTATGTGCCCCTTGTCCTAAGGCTTTTAAACAAGCACGTAACTTTTGCAATCCTATTAGGTGTGACAAATGCTGACACAGAAGCACCTTTGCCAGATGGAAGTGAAAGAGAAGAGCATGCAGATCAGTTTGAGACTGATATCGCATACATTGATAATTAAATTCTGTTCTTATTTCTTCAGATTAAACCTTTTGTCCTACTAAACTACTGTAGAAGTAAACCCCTCACCTCATGCAGGCCTAAGGGCCAGCTCTCAAAGCCTTTATACAAAGCACTGTGAATGGTTGACGTTACTGAGGATTTCTTGATCTTCCCCCTTCAGCTTCTTGGGCTTTCTTTCTCCCTGCTCCTAGAACACTTGGTCATTTCTCACAATCAGCACTCAAAACTTTCTCCTTTGGGGTGATTCTACCACCTTATTTTCTAAATACGATCTGCCTTCTGTTCTCCACATACCACACCCTCGATCCATGGTCATCACTGCCAATTTCCACACGTTTCTGTTCAAGGGAGTCTCCCTTTGGAAGGGTGATCGTTTACGCACTAAACCCCAAGCCTCTACCTTTGCCAAGAAAGCTCATACTTGAGTTGCTTTGAAAGGAAGTCAAGAAATAGTTTCCACAGGAAAGGGCCTGGGATACTGAACTATTACAATCCATACAGTTCCTGGAGTTCTTACAACCCTCAAACAATTGCACTCACCGTCTTTTCTTCCCATGCTGGCTCCTGTGAGGTATTCCTGTGCTGATATTCCTTACTGAGGGCTCCTCACTCATCCCCAGAAAATGGAACCTCATTGTGTGAACCCTCAAGCATGTGGTGGCTTGCAGTCATTTCCCAAACACAAAGCAGGTGACCTTCCTGCAGCCAGACCCCACCAGCCTCTGCCCATTGCTTTTTTGATCCATGCTGATCACGACTGCTCCCAGTTTCCTGTATCCCAGCTTCATGTATCACACCACATGGTACACCACAGCCACACCTAAGAGGTTTTCCAGTATCATTTTACTTTTCTCTCTCAAAGATCACGAAAAAAAATCACTTAGAGACTCTAGAACAAGAATATGTGCCAAGAATTCTCCTACAAACTCAGAATTTGGACTGTTTGTCACCTTTTTTCATTACTTACAGTGGCTTGTACATTGTTATCATAAAAATTCTTGCTAGCTTTATTAGAATTTTGTATGAAAGGATACACCAGTAAAATGAGTATTAATACTGTCATAGAATCATCCAGGTTGGAGGAGACCTCTTGAGATCACCAAGTCCAATCATTAATCTGCCACTCTGCTGTAACCCCTAAACCAGATCCTCCAACACCAGATCCAGGTACACTTCCAGGGATGGTGACTCCACCACCTCCCTGGGCAACCTATACCTTGTGCCTTAACACCCTAACAAGGAAAAAAATTTTCCTAACATCTAATCTGACTCTTTCCTGTCTCAGCTTACAGCCATTCCCTCTAGTCCTCTCACTGCAGTTATGGCAGGAGAGACCATCCCATACCTCTCTACATCCCCCTGTCAGGTAATGGGAGAGAGCCACGAGGTCATCCCTGAGCCTCTTCTCAAGGCTAAACAAACCCAACTCCCTCAGCCATCCTTTAAGAGGAAATTTCTTTGGAATAATATAAACATCATCAGAAGGGGGAAGTATTGGGCTGTGTCTCTCTTAACACTGATAAGCTTCAACTGCATTTCCTATTGCTTCTAGGCAATGTAAATGTATGTTGTGCAAAGCTTTGGTTTAATGTTTGTGTTACTAGAGGTGGAAAATAAAGAAATCTCAGCTCTGACAAAAATACCTTTCTGACATGAGTCTTTTATTAACAGATATTAATCTTGTTATGATGGCTTCATAAAACAGGCATTTGTCCACTTTTATCCAGCTGTGCCCCAGGCCTGACTCCATTAAGAGCAACAGAATTTTGCTACTGTCCTACCTGTTCTTCACCTTAGGCAAGCATAAGTCATAAACCCAGCAAGTTTATACTGAGCTACCTTTTCTGTTAAGAAATAATACATGTCTTCCCACCAGCATGTCCTGCTCTTGGCAGCAAGCATAAGTCATAAACCCAGCAAGTTTGTACTAAGCTACCTTTTCTGTTAAGAAATAATGCATGTCTTCCAACCAGCATGTCCTGCTCTTGGCAGAAGCTTCCATTTTGAAATGGCTACTATTTCCATCATGATCAGCACTGTGGAAACCAAACTATCCATTTGGAATTGTTGTGTCCCACTCACATGCACAGGAACAACTGATCTATTTCCCCATGACCCATTAATTAACATGCATCCAACTGTACACTCAAGAAAAAAATACATTCTGCTCCTAAAATTAAAAAGTGAATTTCAAAAGATGGTGCAAAACTGCTCATTTGACATTTTTTTCTGCTTGTTCTGCCACATGATACATCTGTTCATACAGAAAGACTGAAGTGATTTGGGACTATCAGTCAATTATTGGTAATATGGACCTACCCAGAGGAAGTCACTCCCTCAAATACCCTTTGGAGTTTGACCAAGCACTTCCTAGCAAGAAATATCACAAATTCTTAAGAAGTAATCTTTCACTACATTGTTATATATACTACCATTGGGGTTAGTTCATTTAGAATGCTGGCCAAAAAAAAAAGTCAGGTCAAACTGACCTGAACTAATTTGAGTTTCAAGTCATGTAACTTTTCAAAGCATTTAATCTTTCAACCTTATTTCTAAAATTTACTAACACTGCATGAAAAACTGCTATATTTGACATTCCTTAAAATGGGATTCATGGTATGAGAAGATTCACCATTGGGGTTAGTTCATTTAGAATGCTGGCCAAAAAAAAAAGTCAGGTCAAACTGACCTGAACTAATTTGAGTTTCAAGTCATGTAACTTTTCAAAGCATTTAATCTTTCAACCTTATTTCTAAAATTTACTAACACTGCATGAAAAACTGCTATATTTGACATTCCTTAAAATGGGATTCATGGTATGAGAAGATTCATCCTACAAACTGCTATATTTGACATTCCTTAAAATGATATTCATGGTATGAGAAGATTTATCCTACAAGGGAACTACACATTGTAAAATGACTGAAACTGTTAAAAATGTGAAGTTTATGATCTACAAGAGCTGAGGGAGAAGGTAACAAGACTGTAAGACTAAAAGATTTTCAAGACAATTCTCAAATCAAATAAACTGAGTATTTGTTAAAACTCCTACAGCTGCATTGCTCAGCATGGTTCAGAGATGAAATCAAGCTGCAACCAAAAGTTTATTGAATTACATAGAAAAAAAAATACCCAGTTTGGTATAAATACCTCATTCCCACAAATACCCCAATCTGCATAGAATGAATATGGAAGTGGTACCTCCTGGAAAGGACATACAAATGTGCAGGCCAAGGATCATCACTGCTGTACCTAATGTTTAAAAAAAAAGTTAAAGGGTTTCCCTCTCTGGGCCAGGGCCAGGAATAATCACATGTAGTGGAAGACTAGGTTTTATTTACATTGTTAAAAAATCTCTACATAATGAACTCATCACCTTTCTTCAAGAATCATATAGGATTTGGGAACAGCTCTAAATTTGGGAGCTACTAGGAAGCCTTGCTGCCTTTTAGCTAACACTTCTTTTTCTTTGGATGCTTCAGCTCCAGAACAAGCCCCGGGTAGCTGCTCAGGCAAGCAAAGCACACCTTTTTTTTCTCCTGATACGGTGCAACTCTCCTGTGCTCACAGAATTCTCATGAACAAAATGTCTGGAGTTTATTTTAGGTAGCTTAATTTCTAACAATATAAAATGTTCTTGGTGTCTATGACGCAAACTGTTGGACAAAGAGCTATCACGTGGTTTACAGACCAGGAAAGAGAAAAAAAAAGAAAAAATGAACAAGACAATACAAGTCCTTGGACGTCTCCAATGTGCTTCAGAACTATTCCTCCTCCCCTTCATCGTCTACTTTAGGTCGGAAATTTTTCCTATTCTTCTTTTTGCTGCAATGGAATCCAACTGTTTCCACCAATGGCTCCTCACCTGCACCACTAAACCTTGCAGCAGGCTTATCTTCTGTATTCTGGTCCCCTGCCATCATGCACTCCTCCTCCTCTGTTGCCTTTCCACTGTCACTGCCTAAGTGCCCCAACTCTACCTTATCTTCCTCCCTCAAGTCATCAGTCTTCCTAGGAGATTTTCCTTTCAGATCTGTCTTCATTTGTTTCTTATCATCCTCCCCTGTTGAAGTTTTCTTTTCCAGTCCATCAATACCTCTTTTAGTTGGTTTGGTGAAGACAATCCTCCCAGCTCCACAGCTGGAAGGGTCCTGGTTGAAGTATGGGGTGTAGCTATCTTGGGTATTTGAGCTTTGTTCCTCCCCTCTTTTCTTCAAACCCTCTAGAAATTCCATGGCCACTGCTCTGTTAGTCTTGTCAGTAGACTCTGAGACTTCCTCTAGGCTGTATTTGGTCCAGCGCTCTGGGTGTGCCACATAGTCAGGCACTGCAGGAGAGGTTTTGGGAGCCTGCATTGGTTTGGCTTGCCTTCCCAGGCTTTCTGGAATCATGTTACCTGAAACTGTGGTTGGAGGCAATGGACGCTTAAACCTCCCATCAACAACATTATCTTCAGGCATCGAGGGCACAGATAACTTGGCTGCCTCTTCCAGGCAATCAAAAATGCTCTGGCTGCGGAGAGAGAACGTAGAACTCATGCCCCTCAGATGGAATGGCTGGACAGGAGATCTGTGACTGCTGTTTGAAGAGTCAGGGGTCTCCCCTGGCCTGTAATCCCCATCATCTACAGAGGGCTCCTCAGGAGATATTGTATCAACTTCTGCTTCTCCTGCTAACCCCAAATCATCAGAATCAGAATCGCTGAGCGACACAGTGTCTGAGGGCAGAGCTCCTTCGTAGTCTCTGCCACCATCAGCCACTATCCCCAGGAAGGGTTCACCTCCCTCCTGATCTCCCATCTTCGAGCTGTCACTTCACTGAGGTCTTTGACGCAGGCTCAGGAACAGCTGCAAATACAGTTTTCCAAATGCCCAGCGAGTTTAGTGCCTAGAATACAAAAGAGCATAAAAGCTTAACTGTGAGATGAGAACCAAGTATGAGACCATGCAAAATAATTATTACTGCAATAAAACAGGCAGCTGTACTTCAGGGATTCCC